TATATACATATATATATATATATACATATATATATATTTTTATATATATATTTTAAACAGTCATTTTTCCATCTTTTTTCACTTTAAAAACTCAGGATTTCTTGCAGATATGTTTACTGGTACAACAAAAGCATATTTTTTTAAATATAAATTTAATTCCATTCTTATGACTTTTTATATGTGTCCCTAACCATTAATTTACTTGTAAACATCGGTAAAATGGGGGTGGGATTAGCAAAAAAAAACAAAAAACTCCCTCCCTCATCAGTTTTTATTCTTTGATAAGTTGATAAACAAATAACTTTTTTTATGGGGCCTAATAATAATAGGCCTAGGGCCTACTCCTAATAAAGACTTGTTATTGTGATCCTTAAGTCATCATTAGGAATGAATAATATGTCTACATTGCAAACAAATATTCCAGAAGAGTTCAGAAAATTGACCAATGAAAACAGTCAATATAATGTAGGCCTAGTTAATAGCGTTGTGATTATATGTAATAAATTTAATTAACTATATTTTAGGAATTATTAGGGGAAATTTTCTCTCTGCACCACCCTTTTATACTATTATATATTTTTTTTAAATGCAGCGGCTAGGAATGTACCATTCCCATGCTTGAATGGTACGTGGGAAATGTGGTGTAAGAAAGCCCCACTTCGAACATTTGCCCGGGATACGCTATCTCCTATCTCAGTAATGGTGAGTGTTCCTAGCAGTTGCCAAACTTATCATTACTGAGATGTGTACGGTACCTCTAATTTTTTATTTTTTTATTTTTAAAATAAATATACAGTATTTACAGTAGTATAGGTGTAATCGTGCCCTACCTGACATAGAAATGTACTTAATATTATACAGTATTTGCTTTTTATTTTTATAGGAACTTGACAAAAGGCTAAAAGATGAGGACAAGATTTTTAACAAAAAAACAGAGTAAGCTGACGTCTATAAATTGTGATCAACGTTGTTATTAATTATCACAATACATGTCTCCCTCAAATTAAATACCACCTCCAATTACAGGAACCATTTTTTCCAATTTCGCATTATTCTATTATGTTTGTTATTCTAATTAGAGACCGAAGATGCGGAAGACCGTGGAAACCGCAGTCCCAAAAGTGATCTTTAATTAATTGGAGACCTGTATTATGTGTCTGGCAAATTCACATATATTTTCTAATGAATTAAAGACAGTATTATCATTTATTTATTTTCTGTCGGTCTTCTTTATAACAAGACATAGTAGCTGGAGACATTCATCAACATATCAAGTTGTATAAAAAAAATAACCAATAACTGTTGAAATAAGATATTTTATTTTTTAGGAAGGAGAAAATGAAAGAAAAACTTGTTCTTCAGGAGGACACACAACGTACAGCGTACCAGCCCCAGCTAAGGATTCTAAAACGGGACAATCAAAACCAGGATAAAACCCAACAACAAGACAGTGCTAGTAAAGCTAAGGTATGTATACAAGTTTGTGTGTACCTCACCTTGTTCATTGTTAAAGGTACACTTTCAGTCATAAAAATAAGAAAAACCTCATACAACATTTTGAAATGATGAAATTCCGTTCAGGCTGCCTACTGATAATCTGTAGACGGCATCGCGTCGTTGAGTGCTCACAGGGAGTGGGGGTTGGATTCGTCAGCTGACGGCTGTACAGCCATAGCACAATGCAGTGAGGGCCCAGCTTAAGAGTCTGTAAAAAATATAAGAACAGTATTATTATTTTATCGAAGTGTATAACCAGTATTTAATATGGTTCGGATTATAGTGTGCTCTTACTAACTTATATAATGATATTTATTTATAATGAGATTGTAGAAGTTCAAATGTTTACTCACTGCTGGAATGAATTATGCATACTGGTCTCCCTCCAATTAAAGACCACTTTTGGGACAGAGGTTTCCATGGTCTTTCGCAGCTTTGGTCTCTAGAGTAATAAGATAAGACATTTGTTAATATGGGACCACAAAAAAGTGGTCTTTAATTAGAGGGAGACCTAACTTTATATTTCTTTTGAAGTTTTGCTAATGTATACTGTAAAATTACTTTTCTCGTCTATTTTCTAACTAGATGCAACCAAAGACATTTGCTCAGAGGGAAGCAGAGTACCTCGAAGCTCGGCAGAGAATTATGGGCGATCTGAGCATGCAAGAACAAAGCTCGGAAAATTCTATGCCTGTAACAACGATATCAGTCAGCGAGAAGAATGTGATACGTCAGCCAAAAGGACCACAGGAGGGCGCAGGCTTTCTACTACAGAGATAACACAGATAAGAAAAAATGCGTTAATATGTTAAGGCATAGAGTTTCATGGTTCAGTTAATATTATTCAGGTTGAGGGTAATGGTGCATGGCTGTTTGTGAAAATAAGCTAAATGTGAGAGCCCTGAATCTGTATTATTACTTTACCATGTAACCACAGCGTGTTTCTTCCTGAGCAATACTCTGCGGTGTTGATGAAGAGCTCTGCGTAATGCATGAGGATTGGGAATGCCCAGTCTGAGGAGATTGCGGCCCTATACCAAGAAGATGATCGAGCTGTGTGAAGCGGCTTTGGAGGGCCAACAGCTAAACTTCGCTTTTACGCTGTCATGTTATCAATCTTGCAGGTAAAGGTGGAACGATAAGTGAAACACTTGAGGCGATAACAATGCTAGTTAGATGCATTAACAGCAGACATTACTAAAATACCAAAAAAGGATAAAAAAAACTTATTTTAAAATCATATGAACTTAATTAAAAGTAATTGCCAGTATTAAGTGCAATTGGGTTTTTTTTTTTATTTGATTGAAATGTTAGTGCCCTACCGTTTTTTTATAACTGTGAAATCGTTCAGTCACTGATTGACATCGCATTGGTATTACTGTATAAAATGTATTTTAACTTTTCATATTGCCAAGATATATGTCAGATAATGTCAGTATTTTTTACTTCTAGTCTAATTTTTTGTTTAATTGGCATTTAGGAATACTTCAGCCCAGTTGTCTTCCTACGCTTAAGTTATGCTAATTCCTGACGGTATTGTGAATGTGTGTAGTATGCAGAAAGGCCCGGAATGCACACCAGTGCTATACTCCATCACTACAGAACCATCATGATAAAAACATTATGCTTCCAATTTGTATGTACTTTTAGCAAGGGGACATTCACAATTATCCACATTATTTAACAAATGTACTCCCCGCTGAAAGAAAGCATGCATCAAAAAATATTTATTTTTCAACACTTATTTTAATAGTATTTCTATTAAATGAATTTTAATAAGATTGCTCTTTTTTTTTATTTGTTCAAGCAATTTGGAAGAACATTTTAATGTGCTGTATCTGAATAAGTGTATAGATGTATCCCCAACCCCCCTCCCCAGTTTTTGTATATGGTGAATGATCCCTGTGGGTAAACTGCATAGATCCAGAAAGTAGAATTTTTACAGTAATGGGGTGCTGCTACACTTGTGTTTATGTGTAGAGCTGAAAACTTCTACTCTTGCTCATAACATTATCAATCTAGGCGTCGGTAAAATTTGGAAGAATATTTAGTCTATGTTATTATGGATGCTATGCGGCCGTTCCAAGGCAAAACAACGCAACTTAACAAAAATATAAAAGCACTAGCGTTGTTTTGCCATGGGATGGCTGTATGGAATAGTGTACTAAAGTTTCAAGCCTGATTGAGTACCATATAAATCAGGTTAATTAATAGGTGCAAATAAGTTGTGAGAAAAGACTCCTTCAAAAAAAAACTTTTTCTCATTCTAACAATTTTAAAATCTTGTATTTTAAATCCAGGGAGTTTTAAATTTAAACAAATGTAAAAAAAAAAAAAACAATTCAATATTGATGGTAATAAATTTCTTATTATATTGTTACATTTGTTTAATTGTGTTTTATGTGATTTAAATTTATAATTATACAATGAAGGTGTACTATTTCATGATTCTTAAAGAATACAACTCTCTTGTTATACAGCCTTGCCGCTTAGTGGTGGCTTCAGAAATTTGCCGGCAAGATTTCCGAGAGTGAAGTCCTAACCAACAGGCCGACTAGAACCTTAACAACCTCAACATCTCAGAATAAAAATCACTGGAAGGGTTTAAAGGGAGAGTTTTTATGGCTTAGTATGGCCCAAAATTGTGTTTTTAGACCACAATTTTTATTCGTAAAGTTAGGTGAATAACCCATAACTCGCAGCCTATTTTAAGGCTGTAGTTAGCCGCGCCCCTGCCTTACTGCTCAGCCGCTCGATGTATTAAGGATTGGCAATCAAAATGTTTGGACAAGTGCAACCACTGTTACCTCTCAGCCACTCGACTCGCTTCTGTTTTGTGCAGTAGCAGGGACGTAATAATTAAAGCTTTTAAAATTCTATATACTTGTCTGACAGTACAGTAGAGACTCAGAGCATTGCGTATGAGTACGAGAGGAGGTTTCATGCCAATAAAAACAGGAACGGTACTCTGTGTACGCTCAAGAAGTAAAAAATCACCTCATAACATATTTTGCGATCTAGCTTCCCTTCCAGCTCCGCGCCCCCATCAGATCCTCCATTTGAAGTCTGCTAGATACGCCACTGATGGAGACGATCTTGTAAAAATTGGAAGGCCAACTATACGAACAGATTTGTTCCTATGACATATATAAAACATCAATTTTCACGTAGCCAAGAAATATTTTTTATATACCGTAAATGATAGTTTTGATTAAATTTGAAAATATCAAATGTTTTTTATGTACAAAATAAATTTAAAAAATCCCAAGAATTGTTAAAAATCATTTATATTTTATTTCATATAAAATTTCAGTGACATAGGGTAACTATAATGTACTATATCCAATAAGCAAAATCACTTTGGCAATTTACAAAATGCAGCACATTTCATTCACAATACAATACAACTGGCTGAGAAAAACTTATTGCCTCTTTATAGATTCATAACAAGACCCTCCAATTACAGTTTGGTTGTTCCACCAACTGGGCTACAAGGCCAAGTTGTATTAATACTGTAATAATAATAATATTATTTCATAATAATAATCATAAAAATAATGATATTCGTATAGCGGATGAGGACGTTATAATCATATTTTTGCCTAACATATTCACAAATCAAATGTGATGTTTGTAGTCTGGGTTCCAGGCCCTTGGGTTACTCACTCTTTATTGCGCGCCATACCTAATTTATTTGGCGTCCCATACTCGATTTCTAATGAGCGAGATATTTACCTGGATAACCTAATCTCCCTAACCTCTCCGTGATCAGCTGGATTTCTAGGGAATGAAGATTATTGTTAGGGAGATGGTTCCAACATGGCACCCTGTGTCGGACTGTTCTATTTTATTTGAATGGGTTTTCCATTTCGGGAACAAATGCAATTAGTTGGTTTATCCAGGTAAGTATTCACAAAATAGAGAGCATGCATTTACAGCATGAATTTATATTAAATATAGTAAATTCTACATAAAAGAAATAAATGTATGAATATATGATTGGCTTATCCCTTTAAATTGTTTTGTACACAGTAAAAGATGTACATCATTGAACAAATATTCTTAGTAAAGTATTTATAAAACTATATAATACTGTATACTTATTATACATGCAATAAATAATATTCACACACAATGCATATATTGAAACAAGAAGTTGTTTATAATGCATCCGGTACATTTTATTTTACACAGCGAACTTCATAAAAACTAAACCACAAAGGCTTTTGTATAAAAGGATATTGCCAGTGGCGAACAAGCACGATTTTAACAATATTTTTAGCCGACGACTATAGAGCGACAAGGCGGATCCAGCAGGGCCCGTGCCCACCCCTATCAGTCCCGCCAAAAAAATTAAGAAAAGTGGAGAAAAAAATTTGCCGATTAATTTTCCGTGGGGAAGTAAAAAAAAATCTGCTCACCTCAGCCCTAACCATGGTGGGGCTGAGGTGGCTGCTGGCCTACCTATTGCCCCCCCCCCCTTCAGAATTTTTCTGGACCCACCCCTGACATAGTGGGCTTATTATACCATCATATATAGAGAAAAATGAATGACTTTTAAATGCTTCACTGTGAAGATATTTGACTGAAATTTGATTTTAAAATTGAAAGTATAAAGTGCTCCTGGGCAAAATTAATGGGCAAATCTGTCAAATTTATATTTTAGTCTTATGATATATCTTCTAAAAGTATTAAACATATGAAAATTTGTTCTATGAAAGATGTACTTCATTGGTCAGATTTCTACCATATTGTATAATTCCACCAATAATGGACACTCTTGCTAAGAAATCCAATCACAGCATGTTTTGTTTTTTTTCTTGAGGGCCTCTTTAAGTCAACTGTTGGCAGGGCTGGATCCACAGATGTCCAAAAGGTGGGGGCCGAAAGTTGGGCCAATCGAGACAACACTGATCAAGGGGGTCCAGGGGCATTCCCCCGCGAACTTTTTGTGTTCTAGACGCCCAAAAATAAGATTTTTTTTCTTTATTTTATCTCCCAAAAGGGTAGGCGGGGGCCAGGCTGGGCCCCCGCCCTAAATCCACCCCTGGCTGGAGTACCCCTTGTAAAATAATTTAGTAGTAACCAACATTACACTACTGAATCTCAATTATAGTGCTGAATGCCAAAAAATATTTCTGGAAAATGTTTTAAACACTAAAATTTGTTGTTGATCTATGCAAATGAGTACAGCAACCCAAAGTAGCCTCTTTTGCATTTGTAGGATTACAACAAGCAATGACACCAAAGAGTATAAATAGAACAAGAGAGCCAACAACGCTCATTGAGAGCGTAAAAAAACGATACGCTCTACGTTAGTGGGCGTCCTACACAGGCATGACGTTTTTACGAACAGGACTTTGCTCTCTTGTTCTATTTATACTCTTTGATGACACACAGAAAAGGTTGGTAGTTGGGGTACTGAAGTTGCCGATAATATGCATCTTGCACTGCTGCTGTCGCTGCTTCTGTCTTTGCTGTCGCTGTTTGTGCTTTGCTGCTGCAATCATAATTACTGTTATTCTCAGGGAGTTTGTTTTGAGAATTTTTCACTTGGGTACCGAATGACCCTTTTAAGGCTTTTAATGGCTCCTTGCGAGTAACAATGTATTAATTCTGTGCGTGCTATGCTGTACAGCAAATAATATTAAATTTTTGATAAGCTATTTTTGCTCCTTTCTAAATTCTATAGAACACGTATATTTAGTTCATGCTTTTTACCTTTAAATCAACAGAGAAACTTCATACAGCAATTTAGTTTGATTTTTGTTTATCTCATCTCTGGTTTTTGGTCTGTTGAAATTTTAGTTTGTTTTGTTATTGTTTGACAAAATAAATAAAATTAAATGAATATAATATAAATTCATATTGCCTCTAATATTGACTCCTACAAGTAATGGGTCCTTGACAGCCCCAGGCCCCCAAATGGAAGTTCAAACAATAATTCTACAGTTTTATTACAGGAAAAAATTGTCTATGCCTGGAGAAATTAAAATATTAGAAGAAGAAGCAGATGTAATATTTGTTTCAATTCTTCTAGAGGTGCATTTGTTCATTTCTATATTATTCATTTTACAAAGCACACATGGATTAACATACAGAATAATTATTAAAAAGTCGTAGACTTGTGTTCACTGCTGGAGTTCCCAAATAGCAGCAAGTTCACTTGAGCAGGAAGAATTATTATCTGTTGGTGGGGTGGGTGAGCTATTCCCGGAAGAGCTCAGGCTGTTAAAAACCTCTCTCCACTTGGAGAAAGATGCCTTGAGAACTTCTTGGGAGTTCTGTCTCTTGAGCTGGTGTCCGTAGTGATGTAAGCTGGAGAGATGCTGCCATGAAGCAAATACCTTATGAAATGAAAGAAATAATAAGATAAAAAGTAAAAATAAAAACAATGTATGCATGTGTTTTGCCTTAATGAATTCACATTTGGTTAGTATTTTTTTTTTTTTTTTTTTTTTTTTGGCAGCTGTCCTTTTTGCCATCCCCTGGCAACAGGTCTTGGCAAATATTTTTTTTTATAAATTTATGTATATCAATCAGGTTGTCTTAGTCAGAGGGTCTTCAAATTAAAATTTGTGTAATGTGACGCAGTGGTGCCGTTTTACAGAAGGAATCATTTAAATACCTGGGAGGAGATATGGCTGTTTTCTTTGCTACTCATACTCTTCAAGACCTGATTGGTCACCAGTGCTGTCCTCCACTGCTTCCAAAATCGAGAGTACAGTTTATACTCAACCTACAAACAAAACAAAAACATAATCAACAGTGTACACAATGCATAATTAAAGGATTTTGGAAAGGAGATTAGTGGAATGGGGTGAATTGTAGGGATGACAGAACACCATATCATCATGATAGAAGCAATGGAATTACTTGGTGGTATTTAAAGTACTGGGATACCAGAACTGTACACTTGTATTACTACTGTTAGGTTACAGTATATATATTTCCCCATCTATGTTCTTTCAACCAAAAAACTAGTTATTATAAACAGAGCAGCCCACAATGCTTGTTAAATGCTTTCTCTGTGATGGCCAACATATTGCCACAATATACAACTGTGAACAGCATCCACTGTATTAAAGAGAGGGAAAACATGAACTTGTAACATAACTCACCATTTGCCTTGCCATAAGCGACTGACTTGCTCTTTCAATCCACTTAGTCATCGATTGCCGCAGTAAACATTGGTCTCGCTTCCTTCTTATTTTTTCTATCTTCACTTCAAAAAACCAACTTCTGAGTATCACTTTACTGAAAAATTAATTAAAAATGCAGTCGATTTGTTTAGATATGTACAGAATATTTTATGCAGGTTGTTGCTTTGGAATGAACTGTTCCATTATTTTGCAGGGGTATCCTCACTTAAGTTTATTGGATGACTGACAAATAGATGGTTTATCCAGGTAATTGTTCACAAAATAGACAAACAAAAAAATGAATTCTCCTTTGGAATCATTTGATTGGTCAAAGAATATTCAATGTAAAAGTATGCCTTGCCAATACCTAAAGATCTGTGCAGACTATCAAAAAAGATTGTTCAGAACATTTAAAAAAAAGACAGAGGAAGTACTTACCTTAAACGTCTTTCATAATGCCAGGCTGCCAACTCCACTAAATCTTCATCATGACGTTTTTGCTCCCTCTCCTCCTTAAAGACACTCATCCATAAACAAAACACTGATTTCATTAACCATTTCTGGTGATGCCTCACTGCCTTTTGTGTCAAAGTAGCCTCCTTCCATTGAAAGAACACCCTCTCCCTGAGCAACATCAATCTAATGAGGGCAGCAGACTCTGCCTGTCTCTTCATGACAAACACCTTTTCTGAGGATTCTTTCCAGGTTTTAAAAGCCCTCTGTAGTTTAATGGTTGAAAGATGTTTTTTTACTTTCTCTTTTGTGTTGGCTAACTCTTTCTGCTTTCTTGTCTGGTTGGACCAAGCATTTAAGACACGTTGTAACCTCTTCTCTTCTAAAGTTTTCATTACCTTTTTAGTTGTGCGACATTTTTCTAGTCGGGTTTTCCACAACTTCCAACAAGTTCTTTGTAATCTTTTTTGCTTGAAGTCTGCTAATTTTTGCTTAGTATCTTTATTACTTTTAGCAAAATCTGCCCATACCTTAACAATTCTAAAAAATAGTAAGAACAGAAAGATATTAAAAACACAAATATTAGAAATGAATTGTCAAGAACCTGTCAGATAAGACTGAGGCCTCTACAAATTTTGTAGATTAAACTTGCCTGCAAACCAACCAAATAATGATGAATGAAGATGATGATGATGGTGATGATGCTGATGATGATGATGTTGATGATAATGATGATGATTAGCAATCGCAGGCACTCTGAGGTAACTGCTCTCTTTGAGCAATGTTGAATAGCTTGGTGGTTAAGATGCTTGCCTTCCAACCCTAAGGCCCTGTGAAAGGATTTTTCTCACGACTAAAACAACTCTACTCCACAAGCCTCATCATTAGCAGACTTGGTTTAAGTAAAGTATCTTGTCACGTGTGTCTTGTACAAGGGGTTAGGTGGGCCAGTGGGCCACAATCTGTCGGGCAAATTCTGGCACCACCCAGGCCCATGTGCCTAAAAAATGAATAAGAATTTTTTTTAATAGAGAATACCTTTTCATTTTTGTGAATCTACTGTGAGTCACTGCTGTCTTCTGCTTTTCTGTAGCTTCCTTCCAAATAGCAAACCCCCTCTGTTGGATTAAGTTCTCTCTTGATCTCATCAATGTAACAACCTGATGCTCTAGCTGTCTAGTTTTATCAACTTTCATCCTCCAATGATTAAGAACACAACGCAGTCTCTTTTTGTCTTTTTGCTCAACCAGAAACCATTCCTGCCACATTCTAAGTGTCTGTGGAAAATTGTACAAACCTTTAGTGAAGTTGGCAGTTTATAAGTGAGAGTTTTAAAAAAATGCATTTATTTTTTTAATTCTCTACTACATTGTAATCAGATTATTGTACGATAAATTATAATACACAGGGTAATTTGAAATTTACAAAATTCTCAAATTACCTTAAGGAGCAAACTTCTTTTGTGGTGCTTATCAGCCTTTCTTAATCTCATTTCTTCCTTCCAAGTCTCCATAGCTTCCTTCACTCTGCTTTCCTTCTTTTGAATCAAGGTGTTCTTCAGTGTTTGCTGATTTTGGGTCCGTCGTTTCCACACTGTAAAGCTTTCTCTTAGGCAACTCGATATGGAATTACTTCTTAAACGTTGCAAATTTTCCTCTTGCTCAGCTTTCTTCTGAACATTCTGACGCCAACCAATCAAACATCTGTCAAGAAATATTAAAAGTTAATATTAATAATTCAAAGGTTAGAAAAGTGGTCCTTCACAGGTGATCTCTCAGTGATTTAATTAGGACCAGAAAATGACTTCAAAAAATAATCGCAGCAAGTAATACAGTTGAATGCCATTGAAAAATTGTTCCGACTTATACCAGACTTGACTTACAGATAGTTAATTACATGTTAATTAATGGAAAACAAAACAATTTGACAAATTATCCGAGTTTGCATATCAGTAGATGCATAGAATGTACAATCTGTCTTATAAAAACTGTTTAATACTCAGTTCTTTAAAATATTTTCATCAATATTACAATGTTAAGTGAATAACCCATATTTTATTGGTTATAGATACAACGAAATGAACAGGAGGCATATAAAAATTATATGCAGGTATACAGTACAATTCATTAATAAGTTTATGATTATTAATAAGTGGTGCTTTAATGTTTGTAAGATTTTTAAACAAAAAGATGAGTATCTTATCCACCAATCAGATCCAGCCATTCATCATAATATTCACCTTCTGAGTATTTTCATATTGGACACATGTGTAGCTTCTTGAATACTCTGTGTCTGGTGTCGCCACAGTCTAAAGAAGCCTCGTTTTGTGTGATTAGCACCTGACTTCTGAACTTGCAATGCTATTGATCTCAAGTGGGACATCTTCTTGCATTGATGGTGCCAGCCATTTATCACTTGGCTTAGGAGCATGTAATGTCTGGACTGGGTGTTTTTGTTTGCCATGTAGCACACATGCAGCTCAATCTTCCATCTGGCAAAGGCCTGAAAACAATGTATTTTTAATAATTTAATTAAAGTTTAGTCTAGTGAAACTACCAGTGGAATGCAAGTAAATCATAATATAAAGAACATCAAGTTTACAAAATCATATTAAAGTCAGGCTCCAGAGGAAAAAATTTTTTTGATATGTTGTAGAACTGATTTTTCTAAGACAGAAAAAAGTTGTTTGACGAAAAACTGGGGAACGGTGAATGAGATACAGATTTTTTAATATTTAAAAACTGGGGGAAAAAGGGGCGTAACAGCCCATTTTTACACCTTATTCCCCCAGTTTTTAAATATTAAAAAATCTATATCTCGTTCACCGTTCCCCAGTTTTTCGTCAAACAACTTTTTTCTGTCTTAGAAAAATCAGTTCTACAACATATCAACAATTTTTTTTCCTCCGGAGCCTGACTTTAACAACAATCAGAAAGTAGGATATGTTATAAATAGTTCAATAGATATAACTATAGCATTCACAATCAGACAAAAATTTATCAAACATTGTTAAGTATCACCAAAGAGTATATAGAATGTCAAGATGTCCATTCTGTCCTGATTTTAAATGCAGGCAATAAAACGAAAAACAAAATATTACCACAAGATAGGCGGCACCCTATTATAATTTGGATCCAGTTTGAATATCGCAGGCATTCTTCACCAGCAGTATGCATTCAATACGAATGACTTTTACGTTCTTTAGAAAAACTTCCTTTAAGTTTTGGTAGTACTTTGTGTAATAGGATTGCGTTTCAACAAAACTCGCAAGTCAAACCTCTTGCAGGTCTATACTCTTTGGTATGACAAACAAAATTTGAGAGTGTATTCTGAATAACAACCATACTATGACAGAACACCATCATAAGATTTCCCTACCTTCTTAAGTAAATTTTGCTTTCTAAATTGTTGCATTTTCTGTCTTGAAATAACTTGGAAACTGGATTGATTCAACCATCCTAATAAACATCTGTGAAAAAAATGAAATTAATGAGAAAGATATAAAAAACATGATTACAATGAATCACAGACATGAAAATCTCTGATATTTTTACTAGCATAAAAAGATTAATTTGGATTCACAATAAATTATTAGAATCAATCACTTTATCGATTTTGGATAGCGGGCCTGATGATGTATTAATTAGTTTTTGTAAAGGTGTTATAAGAAACTCATTACATACTTTCTCATTAGAACACTATTCCTGTACTGGTCAACCATTTTCAGCTGTTTATGTTTGATTTTCCACATGTACAGACATTCTTTGACTGTCGCCTTCTTTAATTTACTGACCATCACCTGGACCTTGCGCTCGGCATCCTCACTCCATCCTACATATTCCTTCCAAGTATCCATAACACCGGCAATTTTTTGGTTTTCAAGAGACTTACAGTAGAAAAGCAGAAGAGAGGAAAAATAGTAGATATTGACATACTGCCAAAATACAACACAGCGGTGATGCTAGCAGGTGAGCCAGTTGCTGGGGAAACCTGGCCCAGTATTCAAGAGCTGCAGTAAAATCTATTGGGGGGAGGGGGTAATTGGAATTATATTCCTAAGCCCGAGATGGCTGGCCCGAGAAGGCTGCATCAAGTAGTCAATGTACTGGTACCAAAGGTATTCATTTATGGTCTTGGATAGGAAAAGACAATATGGCGTTTTGGTGCTGTATTTATAATTCTCAACCACACTTGCTTCTCTTAAACCCCTAGTAACATAATAATACAGAATAATATGATGTTAAGATATATCAACCTACCTTAATTCTCCATCTTTCAAAGCAGGCAAGAAGGTGGGACCTTTGCCAAAAGTCCTGTGCTTTTGCAACATCCTGCTGCTTCTTAAACCTGTGCGACCTGTAGCCTAACAGCTTATGAAGACAATCTGATTTCAACACAACATCCTAAAAAAATTTAAAGGAATAACAATATCTGTACTACTGCTACATCGGTCCAAACTTGTCAAATAATAATTAATAAAACTTAAATAATTATCAAACAAAAAACTACATTAGTGATCTTACATGGTGTTCCCTTGCTTGCTTCATTAACAGTGTCTGTCGAAGCCAATATGGAAATACTGCCCTCTTTTGTAATTCATTACATCGCAGCTGCATCTGTTGTTGAGACATTTTGAGTTGTTTCATTTCTTTGGTGTAGTTTTGCCATTGTCTAAATGCAGCACTGACTGGCCAGTTCTTCCAGTACCTTACAATCCTCTTTAACTTAACCTAAAAAAATTACAAGAAATAATAATAAAAAAAAACATTATTTATAATGAAAATATGTTATTTATTTGATAAAATTATGTGTTCATGTCCAATGAAACATTATGTATATTTTAAAATATCATTTGTCCATATGTAATGCCCAAAGAAAGTACAGTTTTGGCTGAATCTGGTGTTTTGTACTGAAAGAATATTCACTAACAAATATAATTTTCACAAACATCAAATTAAAAAATGTACGTATCCTCAGCATCCGATGTCAGTATAAATGGTTATGTTTACACCTACACCAAAATTTTTTTACAAATTTGGTGTCACTTTTAATCCCATTACTATTTGCTGTATATTATTAGTTTATTTACTAATTAATGGTCAACAACTTTGATTTTAATTTGATTTTAAATAATATAATAAGAACTAAAAAAAAAACTAGGTTGTACAGTATTTGGTTTCACTTACCACAGTATAGGCTTCATCAGGTAGATCAGGAACCCAGTCTTCTCTGCTGCTAGAGGTTTCACAAGGAATGGAATAAGGACTGTGGCAACGTCCACTGTCTTTATCACCAGAACTCCATCCGTAACTGTCACTACGAAGGCTGTCTGCATCTCCTCTTTCATTACAGAAGTTATGAAAAAAATTACTTCTATCAAAAATTCCTGACGCTTGTTCTGAAGGAGTACTGCCTGCTCTAGGCCTCTGTGAAGATGTACTGTCCTTTAAAGTTCTTTGCACTGAAGGTGAATTGTACATCATGGGTTGTTGACCTGAAGACCAACTCTGAGATCTGAGTCTCTGCACAATAGAATTATTTAAGCGGCTTGGAGGTTGACCAACTGAGAGCATCCGTGGCTTCACTAGACTTAAATCAGTGCCACCTAAATCTGACATCAGTTGATCATTAGATGACTCAGCAGAGCTCTTGGATGACTGATTAGACAATCCATCTGGTGGTAGGTTATTCAAGAATCCATCTTGGCTGCTTTGGTATGCAAGATCGCTAGTCTGGACACTGCTACCATGACCTGTGTCTTTAACTGCACCTTCTATCATACAGTGGGCAATGACTGACATGGAGAACATGTTCAAAGACTGCTGGAACTCTTGACAAGTAAGCTGATGCCACAAGACTATCATTCTATGCAGATGGCGTGTCTGGAACTCTTTCTGCATTTGTCTGTTTATAATTTTAAATAATTATTATTATATTGCTACCTACATAAAAAAAAATGTCTGTGAGGGAAAACTAAATAGATAAAATAACAACAAAAGCAATAATATAACAGATTGTAGAGGGCATCTTTAAGCACCAAAGATAATAATGTTAAATTTTTGTTTTCTACACCAATGCAGTGGCAGCTGATCTATGTGACTCAGAAAGTACAGAGCTGATCAGGACATTTGGTGCTCTCGAACAAGGTCACTTAAGGAGGCATTAGGAGTGAAAAGTTCAGGAATTGAGACCTTTTATGCTCTTTAATAAACCAAGTCTCTATATTAGTTTTCAAAGTGGATTTGATTTTGGCTGCAAGAAAACATTGTCTTCTGCCTTTCCTTACTCCTCTCTCTCTCTCTCTCTCTCTCTCTCTCTCTCTCTCTCTTACCTTGCCAGCTCCTGGCATGCCAGCTGCCTTCTCCACACAGAGAAGGCTTCTTTTTTCTTGTTATGCTCCTGCAATTGATGTACACTCTCACAACAATGAGTTTCTTGATTCAGCTGCTGTTGGATTGCTTTCTTCCAAATTCTAACGGTTGTTAGCTTAACTATATATTCCCGCACCTTCAAAAAAGCAGGGAGAAAACAGTACTTAATGGTACAGCAATCTGTATATTTTTAATATAATCTAGGTAGATGAAAAAAAAAAACCCATACATATTTTAAGATGAGTTCTGAAGCATATTGAGAAGTGGAATGATGAAAGGACTAGGAATTGATATGCATACATATTTCAGGTTGCAAGTATATAGTACAACACAGCTTGATGCAATTTATCATTGGGGACAGTCTTAAGGTAGTCGTGAGAATAAAACAAAATTAATATTCTTTGACATGAATGTCCCTGACATCGACCTAATGCCTAAGCACTTAACTAACACAGACCCAACGAAACAATAAATCACGTCGGGCTGCATCCTACTGGGTCATAAGAACTTTCAGTTAACCTTGTAGTAGAACAGAAGTAATAGAGGTGGAGTGGATGGTGGTAGTGACAGGTACTATAGAAGCAGTACAGTCTAGTAGTAGTACATACCTTATTTCCCCTCTGAATCTCTCTACTTAGTTCTAAAATTTCACACTTTTCTTTCCATAAGAAATAAAGGTGCGCCATACTTCGCTGCTGGCTTGACTGAAGGAACTCTGTCTGTTGCTTCCGTCGAAGAACAACTCTATGCCATCCTCGAAGAACTTGACGGATTCGTATTTCCAAAAGCTTGTCTTTGGCGTTCTTCTCTGATATCAACAAATGAACTTGAGACCTACGGTATATTATAATTGATTCACAAACCAAAATAATAATCATACAATAATAAATGCCAATAAAATGAGAATAGTAATAATAACAGGGCATACTCTCATCGGTTTCATGATACTTGTGATCCAGCCCCTAAAGAGTCTTAATGACTCCTAAAAGAATTTTAGAAATACCAAAAGTAATACGAATTACAACAATGTGATAACAAATAAAAATATAAGAAATCTAACTGCTGAATATTCCATGATTCAAATTACCTCCAATTGCCGAAAATTTTGCTTAGTTTCTTTTGCTGAAACATTTTCAGCTTCTGCTTGTTGTCTGAGCGAGTGGTTGACCAAGTTGACCAGGCAAGAAATACTCTGTAAACATAATTTTGGTACACCAAAATATTAATAAAATTATATTAATTAATAATAATATACAATCATATTTATTTTCTATTTTAATATACATTATATATAAACTATAATTTCTATTTTTAATTTAATCTTCAAAATATCAAGAAATTTATTAAATTACAAAAAATATGGTTTTTTTTTATACCTGCACATTAGTTTGTTGTTACTGCGGTGACGCATAGGAGCAATAACCTTTGATCTCTTTGCCCTTAAACGCCAGTCAAGCAGTATTTGATGTAATTTACTCCGATCCAAACTTTTCTTAACAGATAGGGCCTTTTGCGTATTCAAGTCTAATTGCTTTTTAGCAAGAAGCCATGAGTGGAAGTAAACTGAAAATCAATAAAGTAATTCAATAAGTTATTTCAGTTGACATTTCTTTATTATTATATTACTATATATTTTTTGTTTGCCTATTATATTTTTAAATAAAGTAAATAATCATTTAAAAAACTGAAAACCAGGTTAAGGTTTATCTTACCTTTTAGTAATTTGTAATCCAATCTATCCTTTGATTGGTTAAATATCTGCTCAACTCTTCTCCTTTTTACCAATGAAATCCACGTATTCCAGGCTTTCCTTGCACACTGCCATGACCTGGTCTGTCGTGCTGCATGTTCTACTTTCCAACGTGTAAACACTCTTCGTTTGCATTGCGATTGTTGGGAGTGAAGAAATTCCTGAAGTTTTTCCCTGTAAAAAAAATGAATTAGAGGCTTTTATGAAAGAGAAAATAGGGTGGCCAATCAAGGAGCATAGTGCATGATATTAGGCCAAAAGCAAACAAAACTATGTTTTAGTTTTCAACCTACTGTAAGTATTCCTGGCCTCGTTCTGCTTGGTAAATTGTTAAGTTTGATTGCCACTCCAGAAAGGGTCATTCATGCTTAACCCTTTCCAGTCATATGGCGTCGCGACGACGCCCTCTTTGACCATACTCTATAGCGAGGGGCTATTTTTAATCTGATTATTTTGAAAAACGAATGAGATTTTAATTGGTGTTGAGCCGAAAATTGCTGGGAAAAAAAAGATAACAAATAGTTTGTTGATAATTAAACATATTTCGGATTTTTTTCCAAAACCTACAAAAACCCTAAATATGAAATTGGTGAGATAGCAGTTGGACCTGAAAAAACAAGATTTTACAAAATTCAATAAAATAATTTCATTACCTGAGCTGATTATTTCTTTGAGTACATTGCAGCCATTTTTGAAAGATGATTTTTGTTTGCAGATGTTTGAAGGAATGGTTGGCTTGAACTTGCTGTTGTTCTGCTTCTTTTACCTTGGTACACCACACTGTAAAATACCGCTTCAGCAGGGTCTTGTTGGCTAATGCCGATACAAGCCGTGTTTGGATATGACTGCGTTGTAACTTCAAGCACCATATTTGGAAGGCTCGTCTAGGTATAAAATATTTATATATTTATAATCATTTAATAATAATTATATAAAATAAAAATTAAATAATAATAATTTTATATTTAATAATAATAAATTAATACATTTATTACTAAAAAAAACAGAAATATTGCCTTGAAATTTGCCCTTATCAAAAATAAGCTTGGTATTAGTAATTGAAAAAAAAATTATTATTGCGAAAAAAGGTATGTGATTTTAAAAATTAATTTGAGGTACAGTAGGCTGGCTGAGTGAATGAAAATAAAATAGAACAGAATTCAATGTAGATGGGGAAAAACAAAAATGATGGTGCAGTATTATAGTTGAAGTTGACAATATAACTCATCAAAAAGTAGTTAGGTATACTGTAGCATTAATATATGATGATGACAATACATTTAGCTACAAAGTAATTATTATGCAGATAGAATATAATTGTGATTATAAATAGAAAATACCATTTTTATAGGCCTTCTTTAGAAGCGTTAGGTGCAAAAGTAGTGGGTAATCTTAACCTTGAGGTTGTCGGTTTGAAATCTCGCTGCGTAAGTTGCTTCTGTCCTTTGGCAAGACACCTTATCTATGTATGTCTCTCTCTTACCCAGGAGTATAAATGGGTACCAGCATATGCTGAGAAGGTAAAACAGACTAATGTATGCGAGGAGTGGTGAGCCCCCACAGCATTGTACGGTCTGGCCCAAACACCAAGGAAAGCGAGACAGGCACTCCAGCCTGTGACCACAGAGCTTCCGGTCTCAACTTTTACCATTATAGGCTTCTGTGTAATTTAGAACGTTTACTTTTTTTTTAAATGTATTTTTGCTATTTAGCCTTTACCTGATTTGTTTTCTTTCCATTTCTTTCTGAAATCGCTGACGTACAAGTGACCTTCGCCATGTTGCTAGACAGTTTCTACACAACCATGACCTCCTGAACTCCAAGGCTTGACTGTTCTTCTCTAGACGCTCCACCCTCGCTAACTGAACAGCTCGTTTCAGGGCACAGAACACTTTTTGCAAAATAATTTGACTGTAAAATGAAATCAATATTATTATTCACTGATTATAAACAACAAATTCTGTTTATATTTTATATATTAGTAATACTGTATTTTACAGAATTTACTAAATAAATTCTGTTTATATCTGCATTAATTTACTATTTTATGAGCAAATGACTATTTTGTAAATTCTCCTTTAAATGCATCCAGGCTAACTCATCACAATGTAGAGTCTAGAATATTTACATTTTTAACATTCATAGATTAATAATAAATGCTGGCAGCTCAAAGTCGAATAAATAAGAATAACGAAAAATGAAGTCAATGGCTGCATAATATATTGAAATGAAAAGCAAAGTTTATCTTCCTAATTCCGATAAATAAAAATCAAAAGATTATTTTAAGCATATTTATTGATAAATAATTTTGAGCACATTCCATGAAGTGATGGACTAGCCGCAACAAATTCTATGTTATTCACACATTAATATTGCTTCAAACATAAAAAGCTGAAAATATCAAAAGGGACAAAATAATCTAATTTTTTTAAACAAAATCAGACACTGAACATGAGGGCCAAAATTTTGAAATATGGTTGATTTTCCCAATCAAGAAATTTCTTTAAAAAAAAAAACAATGATGTAGTGTAAAAAGACAGCTTTCAACTACTTTATTTAAAAAGTTCAAAGATTCAATTTTCCTTTTTTGTCCAAATCCAAGTACTGTAAAAATTGGAAATTTTGGCTGGACCACTGGAGACAGTGGCAGTCAGTGGCAGCCAAAGCGCAGCCTCAGTACCGACATATAACGGATACATTGTCTATTATTATTATTTTATTATTATTATTATTATTAGTGATCTGACACCAATTAAATCCTGACGCTATCCAGGATGGAACCAGGGTCTCCAAATGCTTGGCTCTAACCCTTTGTTACTTACCTGTAATGCGCCTTGGCTACTAATGACTTGGATGTTTGTTCTCTCCACTCCTCCATCAACTTCCCTCTGATTTTCGAGTCATAGAAGTGTTTAGCCTTCATCTTATCTTGATGAGTCACCGCCTTCTGTTGTACAATAGTCCTCCATGACGCAAGGTATCGGGAAAGGAGTCCAACTCTGAAGGACATTTATAGAAACATACTATGTGTCAACATTTTTAATTCTTATTGTCGCTGAAAATCACTACATAAAAATATATCAAGGAGTGAATATCATGACTAATTTCTTTTAATTAATTTTTTGATAATTAAATTAAAAAACAGTCGTATTACTATTTAATAAAAAATTTTAAAAAAAAATAAATAAATAAATACATGTAAAGTCAAAAGTAATGATATGCCATGCTATCGTTTAATCATTATTAAGCACTATTATTATTATTGTAAAGTGCTATATAAATCTAAATTATTTTGATTATCATTTTAGCTTAATAATGGTACTGTACATAATATAAACCATCAGAAAATCATCCTTTTTAATATAAGTTTGCCTTTTTCTCAATATCATCATTAAATATATTTTAAATGAATTACTGTACTTTAATATTATCTTTATCATTAGATTATTTTTAATATCACTATAATATCACTATTCTCATCTTTATAAATTTTGTACTTTAAGTACTGCCAGGAGAGCCCTGTGATAGTAACGCTGCGTTGCTTTCGGGCAATACAGTCCGTCAGCCATACTTTTTTTTGTTGTTTTACTTGTGAAGTAAGTGATATATCAGGTATGTCTAATGCATGATCACCATTATCATCATCATGTATTGTATTATTATTCTATCATCATGATCGCTAAAATCGTATTTAATGCCAGTATCATAATTATTTATTATTTTTAAAATAAACATTAATAGCATCATCATCATTATTAATTGAAAACATTATGATCAACAATAAAATATTATGGCAATGATAATGATGATGAAGCTGAATCATTATTATCACAGCTGCTGCCATCAACTCTCTGCTATCATTATCATCATCTTAGCATTAACATTATCATCATCACCAATGTAATCTGTTTTTTCATAATTGAATTTAACGATTAGCAAATCTTATATCCCGTTACATAATACCTACTTATAGTACAATGTTGCTATTCTTTCTTTACTGTTCATTTCATATTGTTCTTTCCATCTTTTGAAGAACTTCAGTTGGGTCTGTTTAATGTTGAGTTGTTCAATGAGCCGATGACGTTCCCTTTCCAGTTTCGCTTGTTCCCACTTCTGAAAAACTGCCTTCAGTCGCTTTTGCCGCTTACTAAGGTATTTTCTTTGCCACTGAAAAAAGTATTATTATAAACAATATAAATTGTTCAGAAAAAAAATAAAACTAATGAAGATAGATAAAAATAACAATAATAATAATAATAATAATAATAATAAAGTAATTAAAAAACAACAATGCAAAATAAATATAATATACTAATAATTATAATAGTACTACTGATATGTGAGCTGTCATGACAAAATAAGTCTTGTGGTACGACGGGTCAATTTGATATATTCAAGAAAATACATATCTGAAGAGATATTTTGAAAACAATTTGGGTTTCAATTTTTCTGATAAGTTTAATATGTATATTTCATAGTAGCAAAAGTTCCGAAATGAGTTACCTATTAATGTAATCATGGTTTTGAAGAATATTTTGTAAAGCTTTCTTTCAAAATTAATAGGAAAACCAACAAAAAATTTATCAGTTGTTTATTTTTAGAGGCAATTTTCTCTTAAGTACGGTGTGTTTTTCTGAACTTTAAAATGATCTTACTCCGGTTTTACTCAACCTAGGAACACAATTTAAACACCAAAGTAAAGCTTATATATTCATCTATCTATATCCAACAACTCATTTTTCATTTTTCGTACCACAAGACTCACTTTGTCACAACAGATCACATATGTATAAGGCCCTACACAAATTCTTAATTTTTTTTTTAGGCCCAATAACAAAAATATTAGTTTATCACCCTATCTAGGCTGGAAAATGATATTAGGAGGGAGGCTTTTTATTTATTTTTTATTTTGCTAAAGCCAAATATCACCGTTGGGTTGTTTGTTGATGCATGTATATTCAAGGTAAAATACATGATTGAGATAATACAAACAAATATCTACTAACTATTTGGATTTTTTTTTCTTCAAAAATGACCAACTAATACATGTTCTTATTGGGCCCGATCATATAAATAGACAATACTGTAACTCAATGTCTACAAATCTTAATTAGAAAAATCCGAATGGACAAGACACAAATCATTCATAAATACATGCAAAAAATAACAGATACAAACATAAAAATTAATATATCTAAATACCTGCACATATTATCACCTTTTTGACAATTATTTGGCTACATTTCAAACACATCATTTTAAGGTCCCTTTGTTTACATTGGTAAAAACAAACAATTAAGGAGGCGCAATATTTGCTCCTGACATTACAATACCAATTGAATCACAATTAAATTACACTAATGCAGTGTAATTCAGAAACAAACTAATGAACAGCTGGATGTTATGTATTTTCTAGAGCAGCTTAAGAAATCTGGCTTGGGTGTAACAGATTTGATTATCAGGCAGGATTAAAGACGTCCTTGAGTACACCTTTGTGATGTTTGTCTATCCATAGGGTCTGTCCCAATGTATTAGTTCGAAGTATAAAAAAGACAGCATTCAATTTAAATTGTCTTGGTGTCTGTATACTAATAGTGTATTGGCTGAATTCCTCATAAAGGTATTTTAAGATGTTAAATGTAGTATTACAGCAGTAACATCTTCCAATTACGTATCATTCCATCAGAACTGTGATCGTAATTAAGAAAATTTGTAATCTGGAGAGTTCAAATTTTCGTATAGCATCTTTAGTGGTGAGAAGTCAAAAAAATTGTCCGTACTCACAGAGGTGGATTCATTTTTAAATGATTTTTGAATAAATACATCGACTGTCTGATAAATACATTAAAAATTATTAATTATTATTCCTTTCATAACAATTATGAATTAATTTACAGCACTTGGTTACATCTTTTGAATTAGCACAACCAACATACTGCATAACAACTAAGTCCCATTCTGAGAGAACCACATCCATCGTGCAACCTATAAAACATGCACGTCTCTAATAACGAATAATATTTCTTGTTTTATTAAGGAAATTTATTTTGATTAATATTCATTTTCAATTTCTCTTTGCTAGTTAACATATTATTTTTACATTGTATTTTGGACTTTCAAAAAAGTTTTAAATGTTTTGATTGCTAGGAAAGATTGTTTGTATTGATGTCATCATCACAAATGTTGTTCATACTAGCAAGGTTTTGGGATGTTTGTAAATGGGAGATGTTACAGTAGATAACAATTACTTTAAACTACAGTACCTTCATAAAGTAAGGCTTCAAAAGCGAAGAATAACGAAAATTGTCAGCTTTCTTCTCTTCTACATTTCTATGTTTCACAGCGTAGTGCAACGCTTTCAACCCTTTCAATTTCAGATGGTACTTTCGCAATTTGTCCGCTCTTGATTGTTTATTTCTAGTAACTGTCAACCACGCATTGAGCACTCTTTGCTTTATTTTTCTGTTGCGAAAGTGAATTGCTCTGTAGAAGGAATAAAGATATTTCATTTATCATAATAATTCTTTATTTTACAGACCTAAATTCTATTTGGTTAAATGCATTTATTTAATACTATATTGTAAATCTTACATGAAGAGCAAATAAATTAATATCAATAACTAAACCATTTGCTACAACACTTCTCCCCTTTCACTCTCCCTTTTCATTTCATTTCATATATTTTGTGCAAGAAACATTAAAATTGACAAACACAAGATAACAGAGAGCAAAAAACAACACTCAGTTGGCCGGACAGGATTGCCAAGAAGTGAACTGAATCGCTGTCTAGTGGCTCTCCGATGCCAATAATTTTAAAACTATTTTCTTCTACTGTCTTTGGAATTCACCACAGCACCATTAATCTATGTGTTATTAATCCTCTGTTATTGTACACCTTTCAAACTGACCATTTTTAATATCTTACCCTTTCGCTTTTTCCCACCTTTCAACAAATAGTTAAAAGATGATGTGATTTTTTATATTGTAAAAAATACTGAAATCCATAAATATTAATATCAATTATTTGAATTAAGTACTGTGTTGTATTTTAAATAAAATAAACTGATAATTACCAGGAAAACAATAATATATACAGTATTTTACATCCATATTCAAGAACCAATATTTAACAAAGCTGTTTTTCATTATGATCTCTGAGCATCAATCAAAGCCGATTAATTTCTAAATTAATCAAGACACCAGCTTGTGCCATCCAAGTAAGGAAACTGCATATTAATAAAAAATTACAACCGACGAAAAAAAAACCTCTCTTCTTGCAGTATTTATTAACATAAAATGGTAGCTTACCTATAGGATGCATCTTTTTATAATTAGTTAAAAGAATGCATTAAAAAAAGAGAGACGGGTAGATTTGTACAGAGAGACTAATCAATTAGAGTGCTGTAGATATTTCCCGCCAACGAGTCGTCTCAACTAATAACTAGGAACTTGCATAAAACATGAAGAATTTGAACAGCAAATTGAAATACAACAACATGGTGTGGCAATCATAAAGACAATGATAATTTCACTTTAATTTATCGATACTAATTTATATAAATCAGAAATCTGCTGAAAAAAATACTGTGAATGTGTTTCCAATAGTAAAATATTTTAAAGTCACTTTAATATGTTCAATATTTACTTTTTTTCCTCTTTAATAGCTTATATAAACATTGCCTAAAGAAACCTCAGCTGAGTAGGTGTTAAAAACCCACAATGAGTTTAAGTACCATTCACAAAACTACAATTCAGAGCCCAGGGTCAAATGATGTCTACTAAAAATAGCATGTGTGTTGTGGTTGAATATTATTGAATAAAAGAAATTATTTAATAGTAAACTATAACACTGTCATGTTACTATGGAATCATAAAACTTGGAACATAAGTACTTTCAATGAGCAATGAACGAATGAATGAATGCGTTGCTTCTGCAGCATATTTGTCCAATATACATTTAATTTGGTCCAATATACATTAATATAAAAATATATTAGAAAATTGTCTTTTGTTAACTACAGATTTAAACCTATCAAATATGATTTTTATAGAACAATGAAAATTCTTCCAAGGTTCAGTGTACTTATTTTTGCCAATTTCAGGCTCAAAATGTTCTTTATTGTAACTGTAGAAACACTCGGCTGACTGATTAATAGATCGTTTCAGCATGGGCGGCCCTTAGGGCCAATACTCTACTGCCTCTATTATACTGCCCTCATCGGAGCTTTTGAGATTCCAAGAACTTGTTTTAATAAAAACCTCATTTAACATTTTACCCAAGCCTCAATTTGTTCCTATTTTTTAAGCCATTTCAGATTCTGTGTTCTTGTAAAATGACATGTTTCCATAAAAATTATAGGCCTACTGGTTTTCACTAAATTTAACAGGATTACTATGAAAATAATTAAATTGTCTGCCTGTGCCAACAAGTAAAACAACATATAAACAGCATTTTTTATGCAAGAAAAAATATTTTCTGAAAGCATAACTCAATTTATAAAGTGAGAGAATTCAATTGTTCAACATACAAGGTGGGTATGATTGTAAAAACTGTGTCTGCATAAACTTTTATGAGACTCCGATGCTTAAAAATGTACCTTTGCTCTTGCTCGAGGGACTGAAGTCTTTCACCTTTGACCTTTCTGACATAAGCTTGCCATCTCCGCAACCAATATGCCTGAAACACAGCAAAGCATTGCATTTACAACACAAACAATTTAGCTGTTGGTAAACAGCATTTATATGAATTAAAACGAAAAAGTCTGCTGAAATTGCTTTAGAAGCATGTTTCATAAAATTAATCAAATTGTTATATGAGTCATACTGTTCTTTGATGTGAGGGGAATATTTTTTTTTTTTGTCTAAACCACACAGATACAGAACATAAATTCAATTGTGATCTTTCGAGCTTTCAATGAATCCACGGATGAAATGCTAAGCATGCTATAGTGTTAGGTGGATTAACTTTAGTATTCAGTAAAATTTGAACTGATTTCGAACTTTTTAATGATCAACATGATACAAAGCTATGTAGTGTATTTTCCAATAAATAACTCTTTTATCTGACTATTCAAGTACTATGTGTATTGCAGAGTTATGTTGCTATGTACAGGTACAAGCTGTTTCAAAGACAGTCTGTCCTGCTACAACCGTGTAGGGTCATATATGTAAAAAGTACCATGTTATACTTTTATTAATTTTTATAACATAACAATAACACTATATGATGATGATGATGATGATGATGATGATGATGATGAATGATGGTGATGATACTTATGATACGATGATGAAGATAATCATAATTGTGATGATGTTGATGATCATGAAAATAAATATGATGATCAATGATACGATGATAATAACAATTTAGTATTAAACAACTATTAAAACAGCAAACCTTTGTAATGATTTGATGCTGTTGATCTGCCGGTACACAATGCAAGATATCAAGTAATTTGAAGACCCACAAAAGAGAAGCAGTTCGTCTCGGGCTTCCTCGTCTACAAGATACAAGATAAAATAATGAAAATGATAATAATATGTGTGAACAAATAATTGAGTAAAATATGGACTGAAATCCATGCAATATATATAAAATGTGCTAAAAAAAAAAACCCATTAACTTTGCTTGGGCGGTGGAAGATCCAGGAATTTGAAATAGAGTGGGCCCCGGGGCAACTTCAACAGGTGAAGCGTTCATGCCACCTCAGCCCCACTATGGTTGGGGATAGGTTGGCACCTCAGATGGGGATAACAGACACATCAGATGGCCAGAAATGGGACTTATTTAAATACTGTATAAGTTTCTTTTTCCCCCATTATTTATTTTTAAAATTTTCAGAAATTTAGGGGGACAGGGCTGGCTGTTCCCCTTCCCCCTTTGAACCTGCCTATGTTTGGTACATATCTGAAACATACTGTACGTGCTTTCCATTCTCATGAGAAATTGGCTGCCAGTTGGTTTTTAAATTCAATTTGACAGCAGATGGAATACAACAAAGAACAAGAAGGCCTGAAGGCAATTCCAATCCACTGTATCATACCATGGTATTATATTGGTATACCTGGATTAATTCACTGATACAGGGGAGACCTCAATGTACCTGGATCAGATATCAAAATACACTGAAATGGATACTCTTCGGCAACAATAAACAACTGTTTGGTGGAAATATTAATTGCCATGGCAAGTTATTAATCATCATTTGTTCCTAGTTTTCTTTCAATTCATTCAGTGGTATTCTATACAGCAGTTTTTTCGAGGAGCAAGGGATTCATTGCAAAACAGAGTACAATTTGTGAGTGAAAAGGTTTAATAAAATAAACCTACAACAAAAATAAAAGAAATGGATACTACTACTGATATTCTTAAATTCAGATTCATAAAAATGAATACATAAATGGGTCAAATTTTATACAAAAGGCCAAAAAAATAAAATACTATATACAAAGTGTAGCATTTCTAATCCAAATCTTTACAAAACATCACATGGGTTGGGGAAGGTGTTCATACCCAGGCGGAGCATTTTAATATGAAAAGGTGGGTGGGTGGTCTACTATGCTAGTTACCCAACATAACTCTGATAATGAACTGTATTGTAGTCTATGGTAATATTTAATTTAATTGTGGGTTTTTATTGTCTTTTGTATTAAACTGATAGTTACTAAATGATTGATTACTTTCAGGTGTTACATCTGCATCAGCAATTAAAACATAATTAAAGAAACAGGATAAATTATTAACTAAAAAATATGAAAATTCATATTAAAATAAATTTTATAGAATAGAAATATTTCATGAGGAAAAAAAAATGTTATCTGAATTAATATGACAGATCCCACTGTTAAATTTTACATAGTGTAGTATTAACTACTGTCTATAGGCAAGATTGCTTTTGACCTTGATATACTTGATAATTAGGACTGCACCACTTGTGTGGAATTTGAAATTTATATCAATACTGTACAGTACATTGAGAACTTGAACCCCATGGGGCATGCTCAAGTTAATATAATAACAGCAAGGAATGTTTGGCACACAAATAAGGCACTAATTAGCATGTAATTCAAGCAACTGGAAATTCAAAAGCCATGCACTATAGTAACAGAACAATGTTAGTCCAATAGATGTACAGTTATAGGCCTACTGAGACACCTTCTAACCACCCTCGTACCAATAATGTTATCCTCCCCTTTTGTTATTATTATAACTAGCACTGAAAATAGGCCATTCATGATGACTTTTATTGAGTGTTAACTGGATGTTCTTTATTACATTCTGACAATTCTTTCAAAGTTTAATTGAAATTTGCTCTTTGTTGACGTTTTAGAAAGAATGTCAGATTAAAAAAAAACCCCCCCCCCCCCCCAAAAAAAAAAAAAAAAAAAAAATTGGGCGGCCCAAGATTAAAAAAATAGAGCTGTGTCTATACAGTGGCACCACACAGGACCCTTGTTGGAAAGGCCTGGACCCCTTTTTGGGGAAGAAGCTACTGTGACTGTTTTGAAAGCATTTTTTTAATTTTAGAGTGCATCCCTTCCAGGAGGCATCTGAAGTGCCTATTTTTGTTGCTCCAACCATGGTGATGATTGGAGGTGGGTTTGGACCCTTGTTGGGCATATTGTACAGTACCTCTTTTTTGAAAATTTGGACCCCCACCCCCATTGGGAACCTTGGACCCCACATAAGAGAATCTCTGGTTCCCCAACTGTGCTCTGTCTATACGCGACTTGGAAAGTTAAATCGCTCTTTGTTTTAAAAGGGAAAAAAGTCAAATACTGTAGGTTTAGATTTCTTTTACATACTGTACTTCTACAATTTTAAACACATTTTTTTTTTTTTTTGGAAATTCATACTTCATGTATTAATGGTTCTTATGCAAAGTGAATAAATTTTCAATCTGTGTTTCCTACAACACAGTATGCAGATTTAATCAATTATCCCTACTCTAACTAATGTGTTTGTCCTTTTCCTTGGAATTACCATTGGACTCTTCTTCCCATCTACTGTAGTTGCCAGCAATTAAAAACTGAAGACCTTCTTGAATCAGCTTGATTACTCAGCTGAAACACCCCTCCAGCATATTATCCAATTTGCTAATGAAGAATTACAGTTGTAGAAGTGGTTGGCGCATCAGTTGTGGCTTGGACTCCCAACCTCGAGGTCTGGGGTTCGAAACTCTCGCTGTGCAAACCGCTTGTGTCCTTGGGCAAGTCACTTTATCTAGGGTTGCCTCTCTCCACCCAGGAGTACAAGTGGGTACCTGGTAGTTTGGAACACAACTGCGCTGATTACTAGCTGCAATATTGTGGAATTCTCCCCAGGGAGCTGAGTATGTGTTCCATACGTGTTTGATCCAATGACCGGGGTAGTAATGTGAAGCGCTTAGAGGCTTTACGCATGAAACGCTATATAACACCAACATATTATTATTATTAGTTATTATATTGAAAGGAAAGCTGTGTTACCTCACTAAAAGCCAGGATAAATACAAAATTGAGGCCTGTTTAAGTGCATATTTATGATTCTGTCACTCTAATAGTAATATGTGTTATCTATAGATTCTATGCAACTACAATCACAACAGAACTAGACCAATAATATTAACAAAAACAATCAAAACAATAATATTAATAATATACAGTAAATCTGTAATGTCAATATTTATAATTTTTAACAAATATAGTAAAATAATAATTAAATTGTATTGTTGTATCAACTACGGTAATAGTTCATCCAGACCGCTTTGAAATGAAGAGCTGCGTATCTGAAAAATGCCAAATAACTATTTTTAAGCTTAAAAACCTACATACAGCCAACGTATCTACTCAAACCATACACAATACCATGTTTTTAAACCATTTTAGATTTTTGCCCTGCTTTACTGTAAGCCAAAATTTAACTGTGTTTTTCATAATGAATAGAACTATTAGAAGGTATTAAATAGGAAGAGGATTAAAATCTCACAGTAATCACACCACGATAAACACTTTCATAACAACACACAAATGACGAAATTGTACTTCATTTGACCATTAATTTTTGTCTCAAGCATGCAAGTCTCACAATGATGTTCGACTCAAGGTCACGGCACAGATAAAACACTAGTTTGAAGAGTATTCACAAACATCTGCAGTAAGCCTGCATTAATAAATATAATCCTAATAGCATGAACTTGCGGTAAAAGTACTGTACTTAAAAACAGATGCAAACATAAAACACAAACTGCAATCAGAATTTTCCCTGATTATATTTTAAAGTGGTTATAATTAGAGATGAGCTAATGTGTAGAAAGGAGTGATACACTATTAGGATTTCTCAATTGCAAAGTTGTCGTTATCATAGCGGGGTGATTGTTATTGTACAAGAATCAACTTCTGAGTGGACAAAATAAACTGTATACATAATCAGCCTAGTATATTACGGAAAACATTTATTGATTTATAAATAATCAATTCACACAAATTCTTAAGATTGTTTTTTTTTTTGGCCCAATAAAAAAAAATCATAGCTTATCATCACCTAATCTAAGGCTAGAAAAGGAATGATGGAGGGATGGCTTTAAGCCAAATATCACTATTGGGTTGTTTGCTGGTGCATTGTTATTTGAAGCATTAAAGATACATGATTGAGATAATACTATCAATGTCTACTAACAAATTTTTTAAAGAAATGAAATGAAAAAAAAAAATTCAATTTTTTTATTGAAAAACAATTTTTTTTTTTAATTTGATTTTTTCAATACTATACTGTAGAAGACATGCGGGCGGGGTTGATAAACTAATCATTTTTTTTTATACAGCTGTAAATGACGCAATTTTCTTTAAAATCTTTTAAAGTTATTTTTAAGTAGGACAACTTTTGCGCAATATATAGATTGCAAATGAGCCTACTGTACACAGGAGATACATCCTCCCCTCTAAAAAATTTAGGCCTAGAAATACATAATTTGCAATACGCAACAGTATTATGATTCTGAATATTCTTGAAAGGTTCTTGAAAAGTGCAATGGTAACTGAAATGCTGAGTCTGCACACTTATTTTACTAGTGATTTTCCGTGCAGTTTCAAGTTGGTACAAATACAGTGCTGTACTAGGCCTACTGTACAATTTGCTTGTGTTATACAGGGATCTAAGGTACTTTACATTGTGCCATCACATTTTTTTGAATCCGACTCTTGGGAAATAAACTCGTTGACACATGATACATGCTTGACTAGTAATTGAATGGGGCTTACAAGCATTGAGTTGTATAGAAATTGTTCATATTTACCTAAAATCATTGTGTTGAGTATGTCGTGTTGGTTTACAGACACAGTAAACATCAACTGTACATTTAAAGTGTGTCAATCAATCAACATAGCTATTAGAACCAAAGGTTTTTAGTTGTTTCAGCATAAAATCTCCATGGTCTGCTCAATAAATTAGTTCTACAATAAGATCAAGATCTAGGCAAACACTATCTGAATGCTCAAATTCAAAGGCATGTCAACTGACAGT